GTGCTTATATCATACATGTTCTATGTGACCAAATAATTTCATCCAGTAAGATACACAGATATGAAAAAGTGGAAAAACATATAAAGGTGGTTCTTATTCTTCAGTGATATGAGTAAAAGAAATGTTGGCTACAGTTTGTACATATTCTTAATCTAGGGTAAGAAAAGAAAAGGTACAAAGATTTGAAGCTGCCAAGAAAAGACGAATTAGGTTAGAAAAGAAATTGAATGATGTAGCTAAACAAGCTTGGGCAGCCCGATAACGGATGCAGGTTCGATCTGCTGGTCTTCCTCTGTTACAACAGTGTGAACAATATCAGACCTGTCAACACTGCCATAAATATTTAAATTTTTCTGATGATCCTTTTCACAAAATAATTATGGGCTCAAAATTAATAGCATGAGTTAAAGGTTAACTCACATTGTACAGCTTTTTGTAATGTGCATAAAAAAACATATGTGGCAGTTAATTAAACAATTTTTAAGTCTTTAAAATATATTTTACATCTCTGCTTCTAAAATTAGAAGCTATTCCTGCTTAAGTAACAGTAATAACGTTTTGACAGTACTGGTGTAAGTTATGTGAGTGTAGCAAAACCAGTCCAAGGATGGTGCTGAAAATAAATCAAACAAAAAATTTTTAAGGTGGAATTTGTTCAGACATGTATCTGTGGTGGCCATAAACAAACCCCTAAAAAAAGACTATACTGTAAAAACAAAGTATTTTAAAGCTTTTATAACAAGATATTTAAATTTTGACTAAAAGTTAAATAATAATGGTAAACACTTTAAGATTCTTCTATACAAAGGTATCATAATGAATTAAAACGTATACAAAATTTGTCTAGCATAAAAGGCTCGTGTTTTATCTCTGTACAGTTGATCAAGTCTATATTCAATGGTTTTTCTATTTGGGACTTCAGGTTGGTACCTCTAATTCTTACAAATAACCATGAATAAAAGGAATAGAGTACATTATAGTCCTACTTTCTTTTGTCAATTCATCAAAATTTAATTCTTTACTTCTTTTACATTCTTAAAAAATACAAACCATAGTAAAAAATGACTTATTTTCATAAATTTTAACAGTAAAAGAAGTTATTAGCATGGACACGATCGAAGGCTCGCGCTCACCAAGAAAGAGCAATGCTGGAAAATGGTGGGGTTCTTGAGGAAAAAAAGAATCAACAAGAAACTGTTGAAAATGTTCTCACATTTGTGAATCCTATTAGGTTTTGGGCATGTGATGGTGCTTGTGAATGCCTTTTGTGTTCCCCCTTCAGAGTTACATAGTTTATATTAAATTATTTTTGGAAATGTTACCTACACTAGAGTATCTGGGAATAGTCTAACATAGGCACATTTGCAACAAACATCTATTAGAGCATCATTCTTTAAAGACATATCAATGTTGCATACCTGTATTGCACACTAGTTTCTTATCATTCGAAGATTGAAAAATACACGTTAATGCATACATTCATTTAAATTTTTATTCATGCAATGATGAAATGTTTTGATTTATTTAAAAGTGAATTTCAATTTGGTGTACATTCTTAATATTAATCTGTTAAATAGATGGAGTTTCAAATAATATCTGATCATAATAGCACCAAGATAGATGTCACATGTAATATTAAAGAACAGTACAGCAGTAGAAAGGTAATCACCTATGGAAACATAGAAAGAATCTCATTGTGTGTGTGTGTACATATATACTAATAATAAAAATTATCAAATTTTTTTAAAAGCTGTCACTAAAACATTAGCTGTAATAATAGTTGTCCAACTTATAACTGAATAATGAGAAAATGTAACTAAAGTTAAAAAAAACAACTAAAGATCAGTAGCTGATGAAAATGTAATAAAACATTTTTGATCATTAGTTTTGAAATATAAAAATATAATTTTTCAGTAACATGTTCTAACATTTTTGTAACAATAATGTTCTGCATATTGTTAGACCTTTGATAACTAGCAGTGACTTAGACAGTAAAGGGTCATCTAGTTTCATTATCATGTATATGATCCAATCCCTCAGTTACTTGTGGCCTCCATTATAAAAAAACTAATTTTGAGGCCATAAGCCTATAATTTGAAATGTTGTTGGAGTTTAATAAGTTATTGTTCAATTATAGGATACAAAAGAGAAGCTATTAACATGGTAGCAAAAGTTTTTGTTTTTTTCTGGTTGACAGCACCTTCAAACATTGTCAGATGGCAAAAAAAGGTCCACTTTTTGTCTTGTCCTTAACGGAAATGGTTACATAACCAACTGGTTACTTTGTAAACATGGTCTAAATTAATTATATAACAGCATTGAACCTTTTATATTAAATAGAATATCTCCTATACACAGAATCTACTTAAGTGTAACCTAAAAAAAAACTTTACAGAAAGATGATTATTATGCCATATAACTGCATGACGTTGACCATACAGGTTACTTTTTACATATAAGATACCCAATCATTAGTTAATTTAATTAACTTAGATACATTTGATTGATTGTTTCAAATAAATATGCAAAGCTACACAAGGGCTATCTCTGTCAGCCATCCCTAATTTTAAAGTGAAAAATAGAGAGAAGACAGCTGTCAACACTACTTACCACCAATCCTTTACTACTCTAATCAAATGGTGGGATTTCACCAATCTTATAAAGCATCCACAGCCCCAGAGTGTGGAGCAAAATATCTGTTTTCAGTATCAGGACACAAACCATCGACTCTCCAATCCACAGCCCAGCACAAACTACTAGGTGAGGACAAAGTTTGTATTGTTCAAAAGCTCTAATACTTGATTATTATTGAATGGCAACTTTTAGTGTTTTCTATTGGTTATTGGATATTGTGATAACCAAAGCAGCACCTCACTTTTTTTAAACAATTTCCATGAAATTAATAGTTACATTTTAGCATATATTTCTTGTTTGAACCAATTTTGTCAGCTTGTTAAAATATACAATATAGAATGTGTTTTATAGAATCAAAGATATGTAGTATTATTTGTTAGTCATTGTATGTAACACTTTGCCAAGTGTGGCTGAAAGTGGTTACAATGAAAAGAACAAAGTATCTTATTCCTACCATTCCTTCTGTATTGCAGTTTTGTTGCCCATTTTATATTGAATTCTTAACATTTTTGCACAACCTCTTTCTGATTGTTTTAACTTCAACAGGAACTTCATTGTGAATGTGTTCACAATGTTTGTATTTCATGTAAACATCTCACCTTGCACTTCCAACTGAGACTAGGGTAAACATGACTTTTGAGCATTTTCTCAGCATATACTGAATAGGTTGCCATTGAAACCAGGTCTTTTGCAGGTAAATTACTTTGTAAAAGGCAATGAACCTTCTCAAAAATGTTGACACAAATGGAGGAAGAACTTTTTTTCAAATAAAGATCTTTCTGCAAGAGGTGAACCAATGTCTCAGATTGCTTAATGATTGAGAGAATTAATATGACTTATTAGATTTCAACCAACAAGTCATAAGAAATAGTTGAAGAAACTGTTATTTCTACTAAGTGCACAGTATTTTTAGATGTCATGACATGTTGAAAATCATTCTTATAACACAAATTAAGGTCAAAATGGTGCAGAAGAAAATTAGTCTTGCTTTGGGAAGACTTTTCATCAACATTAAACAAATTTCGAAGTTTCAATGAATTTTTTGAAGATAGAAAAACAAGTCCTTAACTTGGATTTATATGATAAAAAATTGGTCTAACAGATCTTTTGTTCAAAGTTAACACCAAAAAAAATGGAAATGTCTGTACAATCATGTCAATTTTAGGATTAATAATTTTAAGACGATATAGTAATTTATCTCTTGCACTAATAATTACTTTTGGGGATTTAAAAATTCCTTTTTTCAATTTTTTAATGTTTGAACAATACAACCAATTTTTCTTACAGTGTACTTTAGGGTTATGTGTATTTTTTATAATATCCGAGCTACTGGAAAAAGTCAAAGCCACAAAATGCAAATTCTCATAAAATTTAAATTATAACAATTGTCCAACAAAAACAACAACAAAAGACATATGTTTGATAGACATATCCATTTCATTATCCAATCCCAGCTTAACAAAAACAAAACAGGCTTCCATGCACTATATTGTACTTTACAACTGTTTGTTTACTACTATATTTTACCAAGGCATTTGAAGTATACATTAAACAAGAAGATAGCACTTACCAAGGTTATGTTGCTACAGAAGTGAGGAAAAATTAGTAATATCTAAAGGGAGCCAGAGTTACATTTCATTTCATGACAAGGTTTTCAGTTTTAAAAAAAAGAAGTAATTTTAGACTTTCTGAAATAAAGTATTAAAATCTGTATAAATTGGATGAAGAATAAACTGATGAAAGTTTATATTTTACTTAAGTAATAAGTTGTGTAAGTTTTATTTATCATTTGGTGAATGCTTGAAAAAATGATTAATTTTAATGGTAACTAAGATATTAATTTCCATTTATATTTGGATAGGATATTTTTGTAGTGCTATGTTAAAAGAATAATGTACAGGATCTTGTGTGTTTTATATTTACTTATTCAGTCGAAGTTTATAACAAAAGTATTGGTGCTGGTATTTTCAATCGGAATGGCACCTTACGCAAACATAAACAGCCAGTCAGAGACCCCTAAGTTCCAGGTACAACCATGTTTACTTTTGAACTACTGACCAGAGCAAAGGTAGGCAGTCATTAACACCCATTGCTTTGAACGAAATAATGGGATTGATTCTCATTCTTATAACACACCCAGCTAAACATGTTCAATGACATTGTGATACGAACACTGGACCTTCAAAATGCAGCCCAGCATGCTAACCACAAGGCTGTGCCCAGTTATCATTAAATAAAAAAGCACTGCTTTAGTAGCCATCCTTAAAGATTTATTAATACTTGATAAATGGTTCAGAAACATATCTGTAGAATGTGTATGCAAACTTTCAAGTGCAATAACTTGAATAATACAGTGCAGTAACTAGTAATTTCAAATCATTCTTTATTTCTGAAATAATAAGGCAACAAGCTAAATAATTTAACACAAAGCTTTAGTGCTGGATAAGATGCGTTCCAATGTAAAATACAAACATTTTTGCATATCTAGGAAGGCTACTTCTTCAGTCATTAAGAACATACTAAGCAGTAATTTTTGCCTGGCAAGTGTAGATGAATAAAGCTTCTTTTTTTTATGCTTTTCAACAATGCCTAAGTTTTTGTGTACAGGAAGTAGTAAGAATATTCAAAGAATTTCATATACATTGCTGTATTCAGACACTTGATATAAAATATGGAAAGCAAACTATTCAAACCTGGACCATTCTTCAAGTACAATTATTTGCATATCTCTAAATATGTATGAAAAAAATAAAAATAAAAAGGGAATCATAAGTGCTGTCAATATTTCTTGAGTGTTTGAACCATATAGTTTGTATACAAATTGGCATTTCATCTCCATTGAAGTAGCATCTTTCCTGAAGATTATCTATTGTTTATGATAACTACAGTAGAAATTCTGCCTCACTAAGAACTATCTTACTGGCTTTTATACTGTATATCATTGGTTTTTCTTACAACAGTTCCATATAATGCCTTCAGTATGTGAAGTTACTTATGAATGGAGGTACAAGCCAGTAGTAAGTTATCTATGTTAAGTGTAATGGCTTCAACTGCCTTGTCCTTTCTGACCACTATCAAAGCATCTTTATATCACTGTTGCCTTCAAAAGTAGCACTACAAGTAGATCTGTGCCTAATACCACATAATTAAAATGGAGTTTAACAAAATTATTCACATCTTCAGAGAGGCAATATCTTAGTAATGAAATAAATGATACTTGAGAAGTAAATAACACATTAAAGAAGTAGATAACAGTCAACATAACAGTCAACTTTAAAATATAATTATTGCCACTACAACACGTATATATAAAAAAAAAACAATCATATGGATGTTTCATTGTAGTTTACCAAGGTTTCATAAAAAATATTAAGATGATTGTGCTAAGTACAACAGTGTTAACAAATATACTAGTTTAAAGAAGACTACTAAATTAGACAAAAAAAAAAGAGAGAGGAAATGTTAAGATAAACTCTATGTAAATAAACATATCAAGCGAACTTAATGATCCAGGACACTTTACCCGAGCTTTGTTTTAGTAGATTTTTAGTTGAAATGTAATGTGTGTTAAAAATAACAACAGTCAATACTTTTAACATTATATCTCATGGTAATTAAAATAAATTTACTACAAAACTTCAACTACACACGAACATACCTCGTCCAGGTTTGATTGTTAAGAGGTAAGTATGCCACCTATATAAACTTATATTTAAATCTCATCCAACATTGACAAAAAAGGCAAGTACATAAGCCAAAACAACTCTTCAACTACACCTCTTTCAGTTCTTGAAGGAAAAAATGATGCAACAAAAATCACTGGCAACTACCATGAAAACATAAGCAGCTTCGTTGAGCAGATAAAAACTAGACTACTTTTTAAGTTGGACTTTTCAGGATGTAATAATGAAAAATATTAAAATGTACAAGTGCAAAATTTAACCAAAAATTAATAGTCAATACCACAGACAAATTTTCTATTAAAACTAATAACATGTAGAATGTTATTTTTTTTTCTGAATGTAGGACTTATCATTTCCACAACTGTCTATTTTTCTTTTTTATGAAGATACATATATATATATCTGGTACTGTAATGTTTCTCTTTACATACTTCATAAATTAATATAGTATACAAAGTAAAATCAAAACCACATTTGGGTATTAGTAAATCATGGTCTCTGACCAAACAAACCCATAAAAAAACTGTTACAAATACGTCCATACAAATCTTTTGTATATGGCAAAGAAAAAACAGTTCAATTAGAAGACTGGTATTGTAGGATAACGAACTAGCTGTTTATTAAAATAATTGACTCAATGTAAATATTTATCTCTTCAAAAAACACATACACACACAAATGTTATAATAAGTCCATTACACTTAAAGTTCACTATATACAGAAGTATTTTTCTCATGCACCTTCAGTCCATTATAGAAGAATTGAACTAGCTTGTACGGCACTGAACAGCACTATCCCTACTGCCTTCACTTTCATCATTGTCTACTATGGGGATAGGGTAACCCATGTTTATCAACATTACAGACAGTGGATCAGCATTCATTCTCTTTTGGTTGGCAACTGCTGCATCATCAGAATCAATAACTACCCTGTCTTCCTTGCTGCCATCCTGCATCAAAAATATTAATTCTGTATTTCTTCACACACTTGTGTTAGAATCTCATATTACCATGTTTTCAAACTATAACAAAATATTAAGTAATATGTAGCTGTGTTATCTAACTAGTGTATGTTCTTTAGAATCAAAGAACTCATGTCTTCTTTATTGTCAACATGCATTAAAAATATTACTTAGCAAGTAATATATGGTTCTGTTATCTAATAACTATATATAGTTCTTAGAATTTACTACTGTTTATTTCCCTAACAACTTGCACCAAAAATATTACTTATCAAATAATATATGTAATTCTATTATCCAGTACAATGATTGCAGTTATCTATCATTTCTTTAGAATCTATTGTTACTGTGAAAATTATTTAGTAAGTAATATATACAGGGTGGTTGATAAAAAAACACCCTTCTGTAAAATGATTAAAATTTAATTGTTCTAGAGGGAAAAAAAATTAGCACATACATCTTGAGGATCACAAGGGCAAATCCCTGAAACAAGTCTAAATCAGAGATAAGTGGTGAACCAAATGACTGACAGAGCTTCACACTCCTTTCTTGCCAAAATTCACAATTTCAGTGATGAGAAAAAAAAAATTAAATTTTTAGATGCCTTGATAAATATTAGATCTTTAAGTTATCTATATTAACATATTTTTATCATTTGTTAGTTCTTTGAGTAACAAGCATCAGACTTTTGTTCTATGTTTAACATACCTTTACACATTTTGTTAACCTTCTGTATGACAATGATTATTAATACTAGCCACTTTATAAACCTCTGTATCACAAGGATTAGAACCTCATATTATTTGTGCTAACATATCTTTATGAAGTTTGCTTATATGGACGTATTCTAGAAGGTAAAAATGTAATTTAGATTTATTTTGCACTTTTCAACTTTTCATCTAACCCTACATTGCTAATTTTACTACAGTTAGTGTTAGGGTAGAGAAAATAAATGATAAATTTTACTTAAATAAAACTTTTGATTTTCAGTTAGGAGGTTTTAGAGGCTATGCAAATTAAATATGAAAAACTGTAAGATGAAAAGAAGTATTTTTATTTTTAGCAGGAAAATTACCTTTCACATATATTGACAAAGTGAAATATTTGGAAGTTCACAAGTAACCATAATGGATAAGTACTTTATTTAAGGTATAAAAAAAATGTGTAACATTTACTAAAAGCTTGCCAAATTTTGCGAAAATACAGTTAGTGAACTGATTGTTATAGTAAATTTAGTTTCATGATTACATGGTGGTTACAAGGTCAGTCAAAATGATCTAGAGGGTTAACAGAATATGATCACAGAAAGTACAAAAGAAAAGTGAGTAAGTTGTATAACACACTAGTATTTTGTATGTGAATCCCTTTCCTCAACACAGAGCATGACACATACAGTTTGTCAACGTATGATTGTGGAATATTATTTCAAACGTTCTTTATTACTCCCAACAATTCAGCCAAGTTACTTAGACGTTTTTGGCCTTCACAATTTTCACCTAAGCCAATACTGCCTCAAATGTTTGTATCAGGAATTTGTGTAAGTTAGACTATGGTTTGAGCATTCTATTGGCCTCTTTACCATTGTTTCACCACATCTGCTGTATGCTTGGGATCAATAACTGACTGGAAGGTGAATTCCTGTCTGATGTGTTGTAATCTTAAGGGAATGGCAGAATGAGTAAGAATCTGCCTGTACATGTCAGTTTTCAGTGTGCTATCACTTCTATGTAGATTACCAATACTGTTGGCTGAGTTACAGCTCCAAAATTGGACTATGCTTCACTGCAGATAGCATTCTCCTCTTTCCCATCAAACAGACTGCCAGACCTGCCGAGAGGGCAACTACCCTGGGGCCCGTGCATGCCCAAAGGCCCGTAAAAAATGCCCAACTTTAAATATGACTTTTTAAAAATTTGCATACTCTTAAGCTAAGAATCAATAGACCAGAAAAACTGATGCGAAATTAGTCTACAAGCCAAGCTAAGTACAAAATGGAAAATAGCATAACTTTGGACTGAATATAGGAATTTACTTCAAACATAGTTATAGCAATAGAACATTCAAAAACTGCTAGTAATGCTAATGCAACTGACAGTAAAAACAAAGATTTTCCAGTTAAAGTCAAAGACAAAAATTTCACACTAAAGAGAGATTTGTGCACTGTGAGCACTTTCCAGCAAACCATCCAAAATTCCAGCATAACTTCCACCAACTGCCAAATATTCTAAATTTAGAACATGGCGACCTCCTTCCTGCTAAACCTCATGTAATGTGCAGTTCTGCATTCAGGACGCCATGTGCCAGGGCCCAATCGCCACATACTTCTGTGTTGTTAAGTGTTAAATGCAAATAAATGTAAGTAATTGTTTAATTATCGATTGTTGTTAATTATGTATATATATTAGGTTATTTCCTTAGTAGCAATGTAGCTTTCTTTTAATGTTGCAAATGGCCTAAAGACTTAAAAGCCAAGGTTTTAACTTTTCCGATCAGCCTACTGGCTTACGCTTAGCCCTAGTATAACATCCATATTAGGCTAAGCATCAAGGTTAAACTTCATATCAAACGAATGATTTGTTTTTTGTTAAATGATGCAGTATCTTATTGTTATCACTTATCAATATCTTATTCTCAGTATCTTATTAATTGTATCAATATTAAAGTTTTCAATTAAAGTTTTAATTTAAATTAAGTGCAACTCTGTACTTTGTACTTAACTTAGCCTAACCTAACTGAATTTTGTAAATTACTCATTTTCATCTCCTGTTGATTTGTGACTCTTCCAAATCGTTAATAATCAATGGATGTCAATCAAATTGAGGTAAAACAGAAATTTTTAAATTCAAATATGTATACAAAAATTTAATATCTAAAATAAAAACAGTAGAAAAATATATTTAGTTTCATAACATATAACAGAATTGATAAGGAATAAATGATTATAGTATAGCTATACTCTTTTGTAGATACTCTAAAAAGATATTTTTTCCAGATTTTTACAATAGAGTTACTACTGAATATTAGTTAAAAATTTCTTAGCATACTTCATCATTTTCTTTACAAATATTCATAAAAAATAATTCCTGGTGATTTATACTTTTAATGATGAAATATTAAATTACTGTAAAAGTTTACATCTGATAAAAATCAGGATTAGTACCCAACAACCCAAACCCAAGTATTCATTTTTTGCACAACATGTTATTTTATTAGCTTTATACATCCTTAGAATAAATATGTGTGTTATTAAGTTATAATAAATACTTTAGCAGCGTAATAGCTAATGTTTTGTGCATTAAAAGGAAAAATACACAAGTACCTATAATTTATATACTAACAAAGCACTCTCACAGGTAGTCAGAAATCATGAACAGGAGGAGTAGTAAAAATTCAGAAATGTGGAACTTTTTTGTCCCAAAAATTGTCCAAAAATCCAACCCAAAACCCACTGAAATATTAGGTGGGTTTTGGTCTTAGATGTTAAAATTTTTTTCATTCCTTCCAGAATTTCCATCATATCATCTTCCCAGCACAAATCTGACGCACAAAAGAGGCGTGAACGGGAGGCTCGGCAAGAAAGGGAGAAGTGATCAGGGATTGTTGGACGTTATTTGAGGTTGGCTTCCAGCATGATCAGCAGCATGCAGATCCAGTACAAAGGCCTACCTCGGCTGGCTCAGTTAATACCAGCACCGCTGGAGATTATGATCATGACAGTTGGCTTTACATAGAAGATAAACCATGAACTGCCAGATAGCCCAAACAAGCCTAAAACATATGGGGTTGATATTGGACTATGCCCATCAGACATCCCAACTAAAGAATATATAGAAGACATGATTCAGAAAGGGCCTCTGCCACACCCAAAAGATTTCCCGAATGATTTTACCGGACGAAAATTTCCAATGTCTGTTCTCAAAGTCAAAACACCAAATGGCGAAATCGAGAGCAGACGATGGCTTGTATTCAGTCCTGGAAAAACAGTCCTTGTATTGCCTGCCTTGTAGG